CTGTCATCTCTCCTAGACTTTGCTTACAGTTCGTCTGGAGGTCACACAGGAGTGGGGCTGGTTACACTTGCTGTGAGGCTAACTGACTAAACACAGTTGACTTCGGTGCTGGTGCCAGAAACACCGTGTTAACCGCTGGACTAGCAGCGGAAGGGGGTGAAGTCACCGGTAGTAGGCTAAACCCTCACCAGGTTCTCTGCTTCTCACGCAGGAAACCCAGCCACTGTTGTGATGTCACCACGAGTATGCTCTGCTTTTTGAAAGTTCGCTTTGAGAGCATTGCTTTTACGATGTTCCTACGTTAGTACCTGTTTCCGCTAACCAAGAGAAATCCAGAGAGGATTTTTGCTTTCCCGGAAAAGTCGAAATGCGAAACTAGTGCCCAGCATCTGTTTTGGAGAGCAGTTAAAGAGGCAGCGCGCTGAGCAGCAAGTGGCGCCGCCAAGCGCCTTCCCTGGGAACTACACCCAGCACCAAGGCTTTGAACATTGTTTCTTAGTGTTACTTTTGGTTTAGTGTGTTACTGGGCATGATTTAGGAGCTCTGCTGGTGTAGTGCCTAAGGCATTTGACTGCTATCTAGAGAGCTGGTGGTTCAAACCCACCAGCCACTCCTCGGAAGGAAGGTTGGGCAATCTACTTCCATAGTGATGCTGCCTCAGAAACCCAAGGAGGGGTGGCTATAAATCAGATTGATTTGACGGCATTGAGTTCGGTTTTTTTTGATTGGCACGATTTGGTCGGTTGTTTTTTGAGTCTGGGAACGCTCAAAAATCTATCTCGTACAACTGGATGGTAATTGCTTCTTCGCTTTATGCTGTCGTGGCTTACAAAGGCATCATCGGAACACTCTGCTCTCAGATAGTGGGGAAAGCGGTATTAACGCCGCCAAGTGCTGCTCCCCTTGCTGCGGTCAGAAAACACGTGTTGGGGATGATATGGTGAGAAGCCCCGCCCATGGCCTTGTTCCTTCCGAGGGGGTGGCCTCACCCCTGCTGACGTTCTGCACTGAGCTCTTCTAGCCCATCTGTAAGACCAGCAAGAGTGTCCCCAGATTGACTCATTTCTTCTGAAGATACCAGACAGTTGTCTTGGTTTCCTAAGAAGTTTGTCAGGGTACAGGATGTGGTTTCTGCTCTGGCGGAACTTAGAGTAAGATGTGCGCTCAAGTGACAGAGGGACCAGCCAAGGGATGGAAAAGGCTCCAGACACACCAGGGGTTGGGAGAGTGATGCAGAGAGGTGAGGGCAGAGGCTTCCAGCAAGGTGCCAACCTGCCGTCAGGGCCTCCGGAAGAATGAATGTATCAGGGAGGGTGGCGGGCGGGAGACCGCGCTCCTGCCTGGTGCACCGCGCTCCTGCCTGGTGCACCGCGCTCCTGCCTGGTGCAGGAGCTAGGGAATTGCACTAGAGAGGTGTGAAGTCGTCCCCATGAGCTGGAGGCCAAGTTCCTGTAAAGAAGGAGGCTCCACCCATCATATAACACCCAGGAAGTAGAACGAGGAAATGTGGCCAGAGGCTGTGGTGATGGCTATCTCTGCCTCTCCCTTGGCTATCTAGGCCAGCTGGGATATAAAAATAACCAGTGCGATTCTGCACTACAGTCTGTTTAGATCTGATAGGTGGCTTATAGCCTCTAAAGCATTTTGAAGCCTCCGACAGAAATGAAACAAGTCAGAAACCTGTTTTAATTATTTTTGCATACAGACCCCACAGTTTTGCCTGGGCAGCAACCTCAGAACCTAGGGGGTGAGGAGTCTACCTGTCTTGTGTGAATAGGGGAAGGTCCTTAATGCAGACCCCTTGGGGGCCAGGTGATTAAAAATGCAGAACGTTTCTAGTCTTGGTGAGATAACACAATGCCAGTCCTGCTTGTCCTGGGACACTCCCCGGGCTGGGAGAGGTCATGTCAGCAGATACCAAGTCTCAGTTAAATTGAATGCGCATACTTGCTGGGGGATAATTAGCTTCTGTGGACAGATAGCCCCATGTCAGTTCGTGGTAGGTTTTGGCCGCCAAATGACTTTGTTGGAGCCGGGTTGGCTGTCAAATGTGTTAGGAAAAAAAAAAAAACTTTGTTTTCCTTAGCTTTTTGGATTGTGGACCTGCTTCAGGGAAGTTAAGGCGGCCTGGTGGTACAGTGGTTAAGCATTCGGCTGATAAATGAAAGGTGGGCGGATCGAAACCACCAGCTGCACCCTTGGAGGCAGATGTGCGGCTCTGCTTTCACAGAGATTGTCGCTGTTCAGTGCCATCGAGTTGGTTCCTGGTCGTGGCCTGCCTCTGCACAGCAGCGCGAAACCCTGCCCGGTCCTGCCCCATCCTCACGGTCCTTGCTGAGCTTGAGGCTGTCATAGCAGCCGCCGTGTCAGTCCATCTCATTGAGGGTCTTCCTCTTTTTCTCCCGACCCTCTGCTTTTCCAACCATGATACTCTTCTCCAGGGAGATCCCTTTTGACAACGTAACTAAAGTCAGAGGCAGTCTGGCCATTCTCATTTCTAAGGAGCATGCTGGCTTTCTGCAAGGCAGATTTGTTCGTTCTTCTAGCACATTCAGCATGCTTTGCCAACACCACAATTCAAAGGGATCAGTTGTTTTTTGGTCTTCTTTATTCTTTATCCTGCTGTAACAGGTACATGAGGGTATTTGAAAATACCACGGCTTGGGTCACTCACACTCTAGTCTTCGAAGTGACATCTTTGCTCTTCAACACTTTAAAGAGGTCTTTTGCAGAGATTTGCCTAATGCAGTATGTCGTTTGATTTCTTGACTGCTGCTTCCACGGATGTTGACTGTGGATCCAAGTAAAATAAAATGCTTGACAACTTCGATCTTTCTCCCTTTATCATGATGTTGCTTATTGGTCCAGTTGTGAGGATTTTTGTTTTCTTTATGTTGAGGTGTAATCCATTCTGCAGACTGTAGTCTCTAATCTTCATCAGTAAGTGCTTCCAGTCTTCTTCTTTTCTAGCAAGTAAGGCTGTGTTGTCTGCATAAGGCTGTGTTGTCTGCGTATCACAGGTGGTTAATGAGTCTTCCCCCAATCCTGATGCTGTGTACTTCTTCATGTAGTCCAGCTTCTCGAATTATTTGCTCAGCGTACAGATTGAATAAGTATGGTGAAAGGACACAGTGTTGGTGCACAACTTTCTTGGTTTTAAAGCATGAGATATATCCTTGTTCTGTTTGAATGACAGCTCCTTGTTCTGCGTATAGCTTCCTCGTGAGCACTATTAAGTGTTCTGAAATTCCCATTCTTCTCAACATTATCCATAATTTGTTAGGATCCACAGAGTCGAATGCCTCTGTATAGTCAATAAAACACAAGTAAACATCTTTCTGTTGATCTTTGCTTTCAGCTAAGCTCTATCTGACATCAGCCTTGATATCATACCTCATTCCACATTCTCTTCTGAAAGCAGATTGAATTTCTGGAAGTTCTCTGTCAGTATACTACTGCAACTATTTTTGAATTCTCTTTAGGAAGATTTTACTTTTGTGTGGTATTAGTGACACTGTTTGGTAGTTTCTCCATTCTGTTGGATTGTCTTTCTTTGGAATGGGTACAGATATGGATCTCTTCCAGTCAGTTGGCCAGGTAGCTGTTTCCCAGATTTCTTGGCAGAGACGAGTGAGTGCTTGCAGTGCAGCATCCGTTTGTTGAAACGTCTCCATGGGTATCCCGTCTGTTCCTGGAGCCTTGTTTTTGGCCAATGCCT